GGGCCTGGAGGTCCTTCCCGGCACCCCGGCGGGACGGGCCGACGCCCCAGGGGGAGTTTTTTTGTTTTATATATAAAAAAGATTATTATTAGATTTTTTTATATAATTTAAAAAATGAAATCGTTTAGCACACCAGGCACCCCTGTTGCAAGCAACAGTGGGCGGCGGATCGAAGACGCCTACGGCGAATCACCGCCGCCCCCTGCATTTCTGGAAGCGCCTGTGTGGCCCAACGTTGAGGCCAGACCTGCCAAGCCATCGGACCATGTGTTCCCCGAGTCGGTTTGGAAAGCCTTCGGGGAACACGTGGGCGCCTTGAAGGTCATCGTGGCCGTCTTGGAGGCCTCTTGGGCGATCTTTCAGCGATCTCTAGGGGCTCTTGGGCCGTCTCGGGCCGTCGGAAGGCCGAAAAGAAGGAAATGTCAAATTCCGTCAAAAACCTAAGGAAAATACATGTTTTTGGCCTCTTCTGGCCTTCCTGGAGGCCCTCTTGGGGGCCTCTTGGGCCCTTTTGGGCCAACTTCGAGCCAACTTCGGCCATCTTGGTAAGTTCCTGGCACGTCTGACGCCGTCGGGAGCCGTCTGGGGGGCCTTTCTGTGCCAACAAAGGGGGGCCCTCTTGGGGCGCTTCGGGGCCGTCTTGGAGGCCATCTTGGGCGTCTTGGAGGCCATCTTGGGCGTGTTGGAGGCCTCTTGGGCCGTCTTGGGGCCCTCTTGGGGCCATCTTGGAGGCCACTTGGGCCGTCATGGGGCCCTCTTGGGGGCCTCTTGGGCGATCCTTTGGGCCTCTTGGGCCGTCTTGAGCCGTCGGAACGCCGAGAAGAAGCAAATGCCAATATGTTTCAAAAACCTAAGGAAAATCAAGGATTTCGGCCTCTTCGGGCCCTCCTGGAGGACCTCTTGGAGGCCTCTTGGGCCGTCTGGGAGGCCTCTGGGGGGCCTCTTGGGCCGTCTTGGGCCGTCTTGGACTCTCTCTTGGGCCGTCTTGGAGGCCGTCTTGGACCATCTTGGGCGGACTTGGAGGCCATCTTGGACCATCTTGGAGGCCATCTTGGGCCATCTTGGCCATCTTGGAGGCCATCTTGGAGCCGTCTGGGGCAGAAAATTGGGGAAGTGAGGTCAGTGGAAAAAACCAACTGGGAGAGTTCTCTGGGAAAAAGAACCAAAACCAAAACCGATAGGATCTAGCACGCCGGGCACCCCTTTGCTGAAGCCAAAGGGGGCGGCGGATCGAAGACGCCTACGGCGAATCACCGCCGCCCCCTGCCTTTTTGGAAGCGCCTATGTGGCCGAACGTTGAGGCCAGACCTGCCAAGCTATCGGACCACGTGTTCCCCGAATCGGTTTGGAAAGCCTTCGGGGAACACGTGGGCATCTTGAAGGTCATCTTGGCCGTCTTGGAGGCCTCTTGGGCAAGCTTTGGGCGATCTGTGGGGCTTTTTGGGCCGTCTCGGGCCAGCTTCGAGCCAACTTCGGCCATCTTGGTGGGTTCCTGGCACGTCTGAAGCCGTCGGAAGCCGTTTGGGGGGCCTCTATGGGCCGACTTGGGGCCCGCTTGGAATGCTCCAGGGCCGTCTTGGAGGCCATCTTGGGCGTCTGGGAGGCCATCTTGGGCGTGTTGGAGGCCTCTTGGGCCCTCTTGGGGCCCTCTAGGGGCCATCTTGGAGGCCACTTGGGCCATCATGGGGCTCTCTTGGGGGCCTCTTGGGCGATCTTGGGGGCTTCTTGGGCCGTCTTGAGCCGTCGGAGAGCCGAAAAGGCGCAAATGCCAAAATCCTTCAAAAACCAATGGAAATCAATGATTTTCGCCTCTTCGGACTCTCCTGGAGGACCTCTTGGAGGCCTCTTGGGCCGTCTGGGAGGCCTCTGGGGGGCCTCTTGGGCCGTCTTGGGCCGTCTTGGACTCTCTTGGGCAGTTTTGGAGGCCGTCTTGGACCATCTCGGGCGGACTTGGAGGCCATCTTGGGCCATCTTCGCGATTTTTTGAGGATGTCCCGAGCGAAACGGCCGTTTTGGGGCATTGACAGATGGATTTTGGGAAATTTGCGGGTGGCCGGCGGGGCAGGCCGAAGCCCACTGGGGAGTTCTTTTAGAAAAAGAACCAAAACCAAAACCTGAATCATCCAGCACGCCGTGCACCCCTGCAAGCAGGGGGCGGCGGATCGAAGACGCCTACGGCGAATCACCGCCGCCCCCTGCCTTTTTGGAAGCGCCTATGTTGCCGAACGTTGAGGCCAGACCTGCCAAGCTATCGGACCATGTGTTCCCCGAATCGGTTTGGAAAGCCTTCGGGGAACACGTGGGCATCTTGAAGGTCATCTTGGCCGTCTTGGAGGCCTCTTGGGCAAGCTGTGGGCGATCTTTGGGGCTTTTTGGGCCGTCTCGGGCCAGCTTCGAGCCAACTTCGGCCATCTTGGTGGGTTCCTGGCACGTCTTAAGCCGTCGGAAGCCGTTTGGGGGGCCTCTATGGGCCGACTTGGGGCCCGCTTGGAATGCTCCAGGGCCGTCTTGGAGGCCATCTTGGGCGTCTGGGAGGCCATCTTGGGCGTGTTGGAGGCCTCTTGGGCCCTCTGGGGGCCCTCTAGGGGCCATCTTGGAGGCCACTTGGGCCATCATGGGGCTCTCTTGGGGGCCTCTTGGGCGATCTTGGGGGCTTCTTGGGCCGTCTTGAGCCGTCGGAGAGCCGAAAAGGCGCAAATGCCAAAATCCTTCAAAAACCAATGGAAAATCAATGATTTTGGCCTCTTCGGACTCTCCTGGAGGACCTCTTGGAGGCCTCTGGGGCTGTCTGGGAGGCCTCTGGGGGGCCTCTTGGGCCGTCTTGGGCCGTCTTGGACTCTCTTGGGCAGTTTTGGAGGCCGTCTTGGTCCATCTCGGGCGGACTTGGAGCCATCTTGGGCCATCTTCGCGATTGTTTGAGGATGTCCCGAGCGAAACGGCCGTTTTTTGGAGGATTGTTTTCCGGATTGAGGTACTTTCGGCTTCCTCCCGGGACCCCGGCGGGACGGGCCGAAGCCCATTGGGGAGTTCTTTTAGAAAAAGAACAAAAACCAAAACCTGAATCATCCAGCACGCCGTGCACCCCTGCAAGCAGGGGGCGGCGGATATATAGACTTCGGCCCATCCCGCCACCGTGCCTGGATGTGGGTATGAGGCCTGTTGGATGTTCGTTGGGATCTCGTGGGAGGTTTCTCGGAAGCCTCTTGGAGGCAGTTCGGACGCCGTTTGGAGGCCGTTTGGGAGTCTTTGGGGGCCTCTGTTGGGCCTCTTCGGGGCCTCTTGGCGGCCTCTTGGGGCCTTCTGGGCGCCTCTTCTGACCTCCTGGGGGGGTCTTGGGGCGGAAGGCTCGGATGTTCGCTTCGTGTTCCTTCTCTGGGACCCCTTTGGAGCCGTTTTAAGACCCTCTTGGGCCGCCTTGGTCGCCTCTTAGGCCGTCTCGGGGCCCTCTTGGGGCCCTCCTGGGCCATTTGGGGGCCCTCTTGGGTCCGAAACGGTCACACGACAAGACGCGGCAAGCCCCGCAAGGTTTGGCCCGATGGGGCTCCGAACCCGTTCAAGGCTCCTCGGGAGCGAGGACTGAGGCTCAGCGGGGTAGCGAGAGGACCCGAGGGCACGCCCGCTCCGTGCCCAGTGGCACGATGGCGGGTCGAATTGTATACATAGATGTAGATGTTTTTATATATATATATATATATATATATATATATATATATGTGTAAATATGTATATATTAAATGTATGTATGTTGGCGCCGCCCTTGCCTCCTCCCCCCTCCTTGCAGTCGAATATTGTGTGCGTCTGTGTTTTTTCCAGCCTGGGCGCTCGACTAGTCAGCGCGGTTATTATTATGCATGCATACATGTATGCGTGTATGTACGTACGTAAGTATGTTTGAACGGACATATGTATGTGGCAGCTGCACCGCTGTCATTGCACCACGTACACTGCATCCACAGCTTGCACCACATACACTGCACCGCCGATGCTGTACCGCATCGTTCGCATCGCATACATTGCACCGCGTATCTTGCCCCATAGATCTGACACCACGAAGGTCGCACCAAATATATTGCATCACATGGTTTGTATCCCTATAGGCTGCACCACATATGAATAATGAACACCGGGATAAGAGTTTAGTAAATCCACGGTTCGGAGTCCACGTTGGCAACCATGTATAAGGAGAGGGGAGATTGTGGAAGTGGTGGGTGTCCAAAGTCATTCACTGGAGGATGAGGGGGTGTCTTACGGATTATCTCTTCTGTCCTCGTTGATAGTTTGGCCATCCGCACACGGCGACGGATAGCCGTTGGGAAGACGAGAGGACAGGGGTCACGTGAGATGTCCGCGCTCAGTGTGGATGGGACGGCGTCCTGCCCGGTCTTCCTTCCGTCATCTTCCCTTCTTCGACGTGACGTCTGCATGTCACATCCTCGTCCTTCTGATGCTGCTCATCCTCCTCCTCTGCCCATCCCTCCCCCTCACTCCCAGTCCCACATCCTTCCCTTCCCTCCTCTTGCCTCCCTTCTCTCTCCACTGCCCCACCCCCTGACTTCTGGCCCCATTCCTCCTCCCGCTCCCCTCCCGTCCCCATCTTCTCCATCCTCCCTCCTCTTGCCTCCCGTACCCCCTTCCATCCCCGCCCCTCCTTCTCCCTCCTCCACCCTGTCCTGCATCAGTTTCCCCAACCTCGCCGAAACGCGTTATAGGGGAGGGGGTGCCGAAACGCGCACCCCAGGCTCAGCAAGGCACGAGGGCACACGCCCGAGATGTCAGGCTGCTGCTGTTGTTGCTGCTGATGTCGCTGCTGCCGGGCGGGCCTCAAGGTAGGCCCCCTTTCTTGATTCCGAGTTTCGGTGCGGATCTTTCGCGCGCCTCGTCTTCCTCGTCGGCGTCGTCGTAGTCGTAGTCGTGGTCGTGGTGCGTGTTGTTCTGCTCGGGGCCAATTTCCCTCACGTGGTGGCCAACACCACCCACTCCTCCTGAACCTTGCCGCGCAGGACCCCGAGTATTTGGAAAACGAGCTCGCGGCCAGACTTTTCTTGGATGGAGAAGTGGGGCGGAGGACGGGGAACCGGAGGAGGAAGATCACCAGAGAATACTGAGGAGGAAGAGGAGGATTTCAGGAGGAGTAGGAGCAAAAGGAGGAATAGCATGTCGATAGCACATGCCTTCACTCGGACGTGCAGTCTTGTATGCGGCGTGCTGAACCTTTTCCCTCTGGGTAGGGTAAGGGGGGAACGCGCGGGGAGGAGGAGGAGGAGGAGGAGGAGGAGGAGGA